TGTTAATTATTTAAATTCAATTCATTAGTTTGAAAATAAATTTCACTAAATTGAAATTGAATTTAAATTTTGTATCTGAATTAATTTTCTTTAAAACTGTATTTTGGTTTATTAAAAATTCAGTTTGACTTCTTTCACTTAGTACTGAGTACTTTATAATTCATGTTCAGTCATTTATTGTTGTATAAAAATAGTTCCTCGCACTGACACATCACACACAGCTGGGATGTCGGAGCTAGTCCAGGTATTTTTCTCCTCCGGCAGGTCGGGACCAGTCAGAACCGGGTCAGCGTCGGTGTTTGTGAGTCCGTGTGTTGTTGTCACCTTTGGGGAACAGCAGCTGTGAAGCGTCTTCTTCTACGTCTCCGAGCTGCGGAGGAGCGGCGCCTCCAGCCGCCATGATGACGGAACACAACCGRCGGCTTGGGTTCGAGGTCCGGTCGGGTCCAGGTACCGTTCTCTAACCATTAAACACCTGCAAGAGAAAAACCAAACACGGACACCGCGCTGAGCACACCGAACATACACCAACTTCCGGTGAACTGCCGCTGTTACTTCCGGTGCCTCTGAGATATCCCTCCGCCCCCTGCTGGCCGGGTGTTTTCACTGACATCACTATGTTAGCGGCGAAAACTCGTTTTTTATAATTAACTGAAGTTTTTATGTAAATATTTAACCGTGAATCCACCTGACCTTAAAGTAAAACTTATTTAAACACTCCTGATAAACAAACTTAGCAGCTAAAACTGTTTTTAATATTAAAGCAGGGCTTTGATTAGCAGAAAAAACACACTTATCAGATCTGAAAAATAAGTCTGCTACCGTGCATAAACATTAAATATCTTAAGGTTAAACCAAATTTTTATCACTTTCACAATGACTTTATTTTGTACTGCAGTTCTCTTAAAGTGATGCACACTAAACATGCCCACAATCTGTGCTCTTTAACTGAAGAGTGTGATTTAACATCTGAACCCTGGACTTTTTTTTTTGTTCCTTCTTATTTTTAAACTTCTTATCTTTATTTGCACCCAGCCTTTTCTCTTATATGCAAGTTTGTTTGTTTGAAATACGCCTTATTGTTTGTACATTGTATTATTTTGTGTGTTCTTTGTTGTTTAATAAAAATAACATTGAATTTAGGAAAAAGAGTCTGCGTTGGCCGGGAATCGAACCCGGGTCAACTGCTTGGAAGGCAGCTATGCTAACCACTATACCACCAACGCTGCATACTGATACAAGATGGCGACCAACTGAGGGTAAAAACTCACTGAGGATGGTCTCTTGACTTTTTTTATTATTATTAAACAACATAGAACACACAAAATAATACAATGCACAAACAATAAGGCGTATTTCAAACAAACAAACTTGCGTATAAGAGAAAAGGATGGGTGCAGTCTCTTAACTTCTCTAATGTATTCTCTGGCAGTTCTTCACTCTGCGGGTGTAATGCACGGTTTGGCCACCGGGATGTGGGGGCGCTGTTTCCTCTTCATCTCTTRTCTCAGTAAGGAAGACTTCATAACCTCAACATATCAGGTTTAATAATGTATCCAAACTTATAAAAAGAAAGAAAGTGATATTTTGCAACAGAAAGGTAGGTTAACCCTTTTAGAAGATTTTTAAAAATATTATTTACATTTTGTGGTGGAGCACAGGCTGTTTGTCAGACTTCTTGTAGTTTCTCTTACAAACCTATTTATTACTCTTGTAACATTTTTTGAACTTCTTTTTGTTTATGTGTAATGAAAAATAAATCACACAAGTTTGGTTGAAAAAGAATATATTTGCCTTGTTTTATGCTTGTACTGAATTCTGTGTTCATGTTTAAATAAGAAAATATTTTTCATGTTCATATTTTAATAATTTAACCAAACCCATGTGGTCATTATGTTTTTTTTAACCAGCACCGCTGTATTAAAATAAATTAAAATAAAACAACATTAAAATAAAAAATGAAACTGTGAAATAATTTATGACGCATTAATACAACAGACGCGTGTCTCCATGCATCTTACAAACCAAACTGTTTAACAATAAACAACTAAAACTGCAAAATATCTACCAAATTCATTTAATAAAGTCTGTTAATTTTAATGTATTAGAATACTTTGATATGTTCACACCCAAAGGTATTTAAGTATAATTAAAGAATGAGAAACATATTGTGCAGAATTTCCTTACATTACATGTTTTAACACACGTTTCCTGTTTATAAAACATGAAAAGGGATTAAATTATTTGTAAAATTAAAGACACAACTGTGCCACAACCAGGGATTGAACCAGCAACCTGCAAAGTGAGAGCAGCTGTCCTGGTTCTGATCTGTTGTGGTGTCTGTGGACCGACACACAACCACTACACAAACAGTGAGTCCACCAGAACCACAGCAGAAAACAGATGTTAGATTTTTATTATTCTACAGTTCAACATGTTCAGAATTAAACATAAACATAAATAAA